GGAATGTTTTCAGTTTACTCACCAACGGTAAAAGTAATGTCCACTGAGGATTAATTTCTAGGGCTGTAGGATAATATCGATATCGCGATATATATCGATATTTTCTTTCCTAAAAAAATCGATATTCATCCGCAAGTATCGTAACATCCAACTGTCATCTTGCTCACTCACTGCTTGCTTCGCCAAGAGAGTGATTAGGTCAGCAGGCTTAGAGTGATTCCTTCAGATGTTAAGTGTCAAGGTTAAAAAGGTATGAGACTATTCAGAGCAGGGTGCTTGGTGCACTTTATTTACTTTATAAATCCACGTAAGCTACAATTTGTACTGTTTCAATTAAAAGAAACATGTTTTCTCACCACTTCTTTGATTCATTTTGTCCAGCTGTTGACTTTAAGTCTGTGTCCATGTCCAACCAGAGCCAGGTTGGTGTTTTAATCAGTTTTCAGTTCAGTAATTCAATCCAACTCTATAACAGTCACAAAATATCTCCAAAATCGCTCTGTCCCTCTAAAATCTTCCAGAAAATCACAAAAGTGTATTGAATTGTATCGTCTGATGAATATCGCAATATATATCGTATCGTGGACAGAATATCATGTACCGTATCGTATCGTAAGTTTACTGTATCACTACAGCCCTAGTGGAAAACCATATTTGGCGTTTCCTCTCATCCACTTAAAGGAGCCAAATGATTGAGATACAAGTGAGCTGAAAAGATCACATTTATTTCCTCATCTGGTATTTTAACTTCTGATTTTGCATCATCTCTTCCTGCGCCTCCTGCCGTTGTGGCAGGGAGTCTGGACCGGGAGACAGTAGATGTGCATGGGAAACTTCCTGAAGTAGCTGCTCACCCACGGCCTGCAGGAAACAACAGAAACTCGCTTCATGTAAGTGACTTTTATGAAAATGTATAAAAATTCAAAGCATTTTTGATGCATGTTCATCTGTGCTGTGCCTGAAATTACTTGGCCACACGCTGGCTCAGACTCAGGAAACACAAGTTCTGCCACAGCAGTTTGTTTTCCTGCTGACGGATGAATTGAGCTTCCTGCTGCCGTGCAACGTCCAAACGCTGAGACTCCCGCAGCTCTCCTTCGATGTGCGTCAGCTGGGAAACGGCAGCGAGAAAATAAATAAATCCACTCCGTTTAGGTCTTCAGATTTCAATATTAGATGATTATCTACCAAATAAAGGAAAATCAGAATAAAAATCTAAAAATAGAACATCAAATGAATATCAAAACTAGGCAAAAAGTGTTACTTTATCATTTATTTGTTATTTTTTTTATGACAGAGTATTAGGACCAGATTAAGAAAACAAAAAAATAATGTTACAAAAATAAAGTTATAATATTATGAGAATAAATCATAATATTCTGACTTTATTCTTGTAATATGACGTTATTCTCAAAACATTTTATTTGAGAATAAATGTTTTATTCAAGAATAAAAATATTTAAATATCTCATATCATTTCAACTTTATTCTAGTAATATTATGATGTTATTCTCAAAGTATTTTATTCAATAGTAAAATATGCTTAAATATTATTTGAAAATGAAAATATTAAAACTAAGAGAACAAAGTTATTCTCAATTTTATGACATTTTATCCATAATTTCTTAATTACTTTTCTTGTTGTGTTTGTAATTATTATTGTTTTGTTTAAAATAAACAGATCTTTCTTGTAAATAAAATCTCGGATTTCAATGAGAAAATCTAAAGGTCAAATAAAAAAATAAAATATTTATTTAATCTCAATGTCAAATATTTTCATTTTATTGACATTTAAAGTAACTAATTTTCATTTTGACAGTTAAGATTTTTTGTAATTTTTTATGATTAAAGCAGAAAAACTTTGTTGATCACAATTGATTTGTAAAGACAATAAAAGGCTAAAATGTTCAAGGGGTAAATACTTTTTAGTGTTTTTAAAGGTTTTAGATGCAGAATTGGTTTGAAATATCCAAATGTTATGATGTTACGATATACATCATTGTGCAGAAGTTCTGGGAAAAAATCCTTGATTGTTTACATTTCCCTTCACCTCCTCTAACAGAGTCCTGTTCTTCTCCAGCTTCCTTGGCTGATCGTAAACAGCCAGAGGAACAGAGTTGGACCGAAGCCGAACATCTCGTCTCTCTGTCCTGGTCACACCTGGTTTACCTGTTCCACCTGTCTGCTGCTGCCGCTGGGCGATCAAAGGCAGGAAGCCAGTGCTATCAGACCAGAAGAGAGAGAGAGTGATGAGTTCATATTTCACCTCATCATGTTGTCGTCTTGTTGAACAGCATGTGTGTGTGACTGACACTGCTAATAAAACCCAAACACACACAACCGAATCCTCTCCAGTTGTAAACCACAGCAGAAAATAAAAATACATTTTATAACATTGAATATGATGCAGACTGCAGCATCCTGAGTGTTTTTCTGACATATTTTAACCTTCCAGAACACATAAAGACAGTTACAACTCAGTCTTCTATCATCTGAGGAACATTTCTAGGGTTAAAGGTCTACTGTCCCAAGAAGATCTAGAAAAATTGTCTTTACAGTTTCCTAACTTATCAGTCAAAATATCAAACTAAGCCTGTTTTTAAGTAAACGGTCACTGGAGATTTGTGGCCCTACTTACTACAACAGTAGAATAAAAGTAAAACATTGGTTTTGTCCCTACAATTTTCTACTTTGGATATAAATTTACCATTGAAAATTTCATAGAAAGAGAAACACAAAAGGTTTTCATGTGCACCTCTACCATTTAAACCATTTCTAAGTTGATCCCAGGGCCACTCGAAACTACTCAAAAGACCGCAAATGGCCCCCGGGCCACGCATTGGACACCCCTGCTTTAAATCAAGACTAAAAATCCATCTGATTAAAGTTGCCTGGAACATATTTGATATGTATTGATTTAGATGAACTTTAATTATGTAGAAAAATTCAAGTAGCATAAACTAACATTAAAAACAAGATTTTTTTTTTTTTTTGAAAATTAAAATTTAACAAGTAAAATTTAAAAAACTGACAAAACAATCACATTTATTTCCACATTAGACGCATTTAAATCAGCTAAGTTGGAGCAGAGACACTCTGGAGCAGAGTTTTGTAGTAACTAGTTACTTTTACTTGAATAACTTTTGTGAAAAAAATTCCTTCTAGGAGTATTTTTACTACGCTGTACTTTGAGTAGTTTTATTATGAAGTATTTCTACTCTTACTCGAGTATAATTTTTGGGTTCGCTACCCTCTACTCTGATGTACAATAAAACCTAATTCTCTTAACAGTTTGCCCCAAAATGTCCTCAGAAGCAAACATGAAGGCTGATCTGCTCCCCACAAACAGAACAACAAACCGAACACGTTTCTGTTTCAGATTTGTTTTCAGATCCATCTGATCGGGGTAATGTATCCGAGATCCACCGCAGAGTATCACAAACACACACGCTTATCAAATTAATCCGACCCGTCCGAGTTTCCGTCTCCGCTTCAGACGGCGGCAGTTCTGCAACACGCGGTTACAAAATCTACCTTCCATCTTCAACGTTTTCTCTCCGTAAACCAGCCATACAATCCCACAAAAACTGGCTGTGAGACGGTCGGGTGGTCCGATTCGTTTACCTGTGCTCTCTGCTTTCAGATTCCTCCTGGATTTGAGAGAGATACCTGGCTCCCATCCTGCCCTGAAACAACAAAAACAAGAAACAAACACAGAGGATACAGTGTCAGTTAATTACAGACGGAGACTTGGAAGAGGAGAGAGACTGTTTCACCTGACAACGGTTACCGCAGTGACAAGAGACATCTGCCCATCAGTATCGGGGCTGATAGACGACACCAAACACACACNCTCATTCTCTAAAATTAAAATCACAGAATGAAGCAATTCATTTATACACTGCCTGTTATTGGCCTCTTGATGTTTTCCTTTTCACCCCACTTTTCCTGATTGCATCACTTCAACCTCCAATGAAAACTTTGGTCTGGACTTTAGAAAACTGTCCAGTGAATTAATCAGAGTTATACAATTCACCATCATTACATGAACATTCAGTGTCATGACCACAAATTTATTATAGTTATTAATGTTGTCATAGTATTGTCACAATATTATTATGTTTAGCTTTAAGATGAGGTCAGTTGTGTCAATGAGATGATCTGTATAAAGCAAGATAAAATAAAGTAAAATCCAAGTAAAAATAAATAAATTTAAGCTATGGAAATGTTGCATATTTTTTAACGGTGATAGTAATTACAAGTCGACATTCTGCACTGCTTAAAACACCTACAAGTGTTCTGTTTTAAAACGACTGCTGATAGTTTTTGTCCCAGCACTATGTTTACAGACACCAGTACATTTTGCTCCAGACCTGCAAAACTAGAGTTGTTTTCCACGTACAGCTAAACCATATCGTCGTAGTTTGTCTTTTGTAATGTAACCAATGACATTGTAAAATGTTTTATACTTGAAATTAGCTTTATCTCCTAGTTTTAAGCTCTAAAAATGATACTAGGTTTATATTTTCATGGCAAACTTTAAACAGAAACTCAGACATTTTGTAAATCCTGTTGTATGAATATTTTGTTCCAGGTGGAAGTGTCAGAGCTGGTCTCAGCTGACACTTTAGTTGTGAATGTTGCTGCTACTGACAGAGATTCTGGTCTCAATGGGAAGATCAGCTACAGACTTCTTTCTTCTCCTCTTCATGCCTTCTACATCCAGAAAGATAATGGTAAAAACGGAGATTATTAATGTGTGTGTCTATTTATATGGTACTATTTGGCAGTTTAATTTTTGTATTTGCCAAGGAAATTCTTTTCTAGCAAATGTTTTTTTTTCTTGCCTCATTCAGGACCAAAGTTTACTAAGAGTTTGACTGCTGCCAGCAACAGTGTTTATATGTTCAAAGCTTGTGTAAATTATTGAGCCAGAAAAATGAGAGAGCATAAAGTAACTGTGAGGCTATCGAGTCTCAGAAAATCTATAGCTTTGGTCTTGTGCCACTTTAAAAAAATATATACATATATATTCTTAAAGAAACTAAAAGCGAACCATTTCTCATCAGTCTGGCCTGTCTTTATTAAATAAAGAGAGGATTTATCCTTCTGTATTATGTTTCAGCCCTAAATTCAATATGCAGTGAAAATTATATGCATTCATTTGTGGAGAGGACCATGACAGGAAATGTGCATGAACACTAACTAAAGGTTTATGACTACAATCCAAAAACGTAACACAGCCTGTCTGTGGCCCCGGGACTTTTTGTCTTTCTGTGTTCCTCAGTGGACGGTTCTGCTCCACTTGCTCATCATGGACAGAAGTTGAAGTGGCAGTGAAGTGGAATAAGAAATTGTTTGGTGAAACTCTTTGATGCCATCCAAGAAGAAAATTGCTCCTGCAGTCCGCATGTGATATTCATTTAGAACATTATTCTCAGGACATGAGGTTGTTCTGCTGCATCTAATGACTTCTGCAACTTTGATGCAACTCCAGCAACACAAGGCCTTACAATACCATCGTTATTCATGCAAAGCAAAATAAACCCAGTGATAATTTGCGTATTTGGTTAAATCAGACGTTGAATCAGTTTTTAATGTGGGTGATTTTTCTCCCGTGAGAGCAAGTATGAGACTTCTACTACCACTTGCTAGAGTTAGCTATTTTACTAAATATTAACTCATAGTGATAATCTGTAGTATGCTCTCAGATAACACAGTATAGAAACGCAAAGACCAGCTAGAGTTTGAAGAAAGAGAAGCAACAGCCGATGTTTGAACCGACCTACTACTTCACTCTGTTGCTGAATATGGTCACAACCCCACAAGAAGTTATACATGTTTATTATGAATGCAGATAGCAAATGGAAAGGAAAAAAAATAAACCCAGTGAATGAAATCTGTTTAATAATACACACTTTCTAATTACAGGTTCTATTTTCACCAACAAGCCTTTAAGGACCATCACATACAGCAACATGCTCCATCTTCTGGTTGAGGCGAGAGATGAGGGCGAACCCGTTCGATCCACAGTCACCTCTGTGGCCCTGGTGCTTGTAGACGCAAATGACCATAAACCTTTGTTTCACCAGGATGTTTACACACTCACTACTGCTGAAGATACACCCCCAGAAACCACCCTGCTCACAATTTCTGCACAGGACGAAGATTGGAGCCCAGAAAACACCCATTTGGACTACGCCATCATCGGCGGAAATGAAGAAAAGCGATTCTGTTTAGAAGTGAAAAAGATTCCTGTTGAAAATCAAATGAAAAATGTCGGACGGCTGGTTTTGTGTAATCCCTTGGACCGTGAGACAACTGAGTATTATGAATTGACAGTTAGTGTTTCTGATCGAGGAACGCCTCCCCTGAACAGCTCATCGATCATTAAAGTGACTGTTACTGACTGCAATGACAATGCTCCGGTCTTCTCCAGTGCAGAGTACCATGCAGAGGTGAGTGAAAGCAGCCAGATAGGAACCAGCTTAGTCCACGTTAGTGCTCTGGATCCTGATCTTGGTGTCAATGGCCTTGTGCATTATGAAATTATTTCTGGGAACAGTAAAGGTCACCTCAAGCTGGACCCCCAGTCTGGCATTTTGATGGTCAACCAATCACTTGACTATGAGGAGGATTTAAGGTATATCCTCACCATCAGAGCTACCGATGGGGGCCAGGCATCAGAAAACCAAAACATGGCTTTCGCAGTTGTCTTTGTTAATGTTCTGGATGAGAATGACAACACTCCATTCTTCATGTTCCCCTCAGTTACCTGCTCAGTGCTGGAAAACCTCCCAGCATTCACCCATACATGTTCTGTCCACGCTGTTGACAAAGACTCTGGGCCCTATGGCCTGCTGACCTACTCAATTCTGTCCTCTTGCTTCATGGACTATGGCAGTGGAAGCCCAGAGAGGAAGGAGGCCTTTGCCATTGATGCCCTTACTGGTGACATTCACACTAGACAAACATTTGACTATGAACGTGAGAATGAGTACTGCTTTGTAGTGGAGGCCAAAGACAAAGGTGACAAATCAGCTACGGTAAGAGTCCAAGTAGCCATAAAGGGAGTAGATGAGTTCAGTCCCATCTTCACTCAGAAGCAGTACCACTTCCTTCTTCCAGAAAATCCCAACACCGGGAAGACAGTTGGTTTTGTGATGGCAATGGACCATGATGGAGGAGTGGACGGGCTGGTAGAGTACTCGCTTTTGACTCCATCTCCATTTTTTTCAATTAACAAAACAATTGGAGCTATCTTTGTGTCTGGTCCCGTGTATCGCAGAAGAATCAGCCATGCAAGTGAGGATATGGTGGAACTGGTCGTGACTGCAGGTAGTCCCAGACTGGGTTCCAGAACAACAACTTGCTTAGTTTTTGTCAATATCTCCAGCTCAGCCGAAGCACTTACTGGGGTTCAGCATGATTCCCACATATTTAGTCTGAGTCTGTCGCTGCTTTTGTTCGTCTTTGTCCTAGTTATCTTTGTGGGCTTGGTTCTCAGATGTAAAGTTAAAGAAGCTGTCCTGAAAAAGGCCTCTGCCATTGCTGCACAGTTGAACCATGGTACTGACTCATCCGGTGAATCAAACAGCCAGATGCACAGTGACGTTTCCTTGCAGGAGTTGACGCAAGTCGAAGGTTTTGTTGCAAAGAGAGACGTTTCTAACCCATACACCCAGTCAGATTCAAGTGGCCGTGGATCAGCAGAGGGTGAGACAGCTGAGGATCAGGAAATCAAGTGGATCAATGAGTTTCCCTGTTATAAAAGAGAGAAAGTCAACAAGCTTACCACAGAGATCCCCAACTCCACCCTACCAGTTGATAAGAGCTCCTGCCACTCTATTGACGTAGGGCCAGAACATATTTTATCTCTTACTAAATGTTTAGCACAGGGCATAGCAAGCACAGAAAGTCTCAACCATTTCCAAGAGGAGGGAGGAGGAGAGGAATTACTTCCTGCAATACTTAGAGTTAAAGATTTAGAGGATTCCATGGGGGCAAGAGGGTATGCCCCTCTCTCCAAGGCTCAAGCTTCTGCAGATTCTCTGACTTCACTGGTGTGCCTTGAAGAGCCACTGGAGGGTAGCTACAGCTGGGACTTCCTTTTAGACTGGGAACCACGCTTTCACTCTCTGGCTGCTGTGTTCACTGATATAGGTATGCTTCCTGATGAGGAGCTTCAAGGAGGCCATGAGGACTTTGCTACAGAGTCAAGTTCTCTCATGTACCCACCACCTCTCATAACCGGAGTGGCTCAGCCAGGCATTCGGACTGTTCCTCCGAGAAAACCTGGACGAGTACCAACCCTGAGCAGGAAGCCTTCCTACCCTAAATATGCTTATTCTCCATTAGCCAGGAACACAGGACTCACCCCGTCAGCTATGACACCCACTTTCACCCCATCACTGTCCTCTCTCACCATGAGGACCCCCAGCTCCTCACCAGTTGTCTCGGACACAGGAGTTGGAGGGATTAGACTTGACTCAGGGCCTCATACTGCAAGCCTTTTGGAGGCTGAAATCCAAGTGTAGGCACGGACCATTTTAAATGTAACAATGAATCCAGTGCTTGAAATATTCTGGTAATATCCTGCACAGTTAGTTATTGACATTTTAAGATGTGCCTGATCATTTGTCCAGCATCATCCAAATGCCTGTTATCTCTAAAAGCTTTTCTTATACCAAAAGTGGATTCCATGAGCCACACTACAGTTTTATGCTGCAGTGAAGAAAGTAAAATCTAATCCCTTCCAGCGTAAACGTGCATGCAGCTCGGTGGCACCTGCACACTTTGACTAAGCCCGCACTGCCAAAAGACACAGGATATCTATCAAAGTGCTCCGGATTGTCCCACAACGCTCTTTCCTGATCCATATTTCATTTTCTGTCTCGTTGTAGCATGGGCACTTTTTTTTTTTACTTATAGGATAACAGATTCATCATCATATATTTTTTTTCATGGCAGATAACATGTTATTTGTTTAAAAAAGTCTGGTGTTTAAAACGGTTTACTCCTACTGTTATGCTACCTTTGGTCTAAAATGTTTGATTTGAGTTAACATCTTGGGATTTGAATCATTTCTTTCTTCCATGGCAGCTGCCTCTTTCTGGCTGCAGAACTTTATTATTTTGAGTCCAGCTGTTGTTGCGAGTCTGGCCTCAACGGGGAGATACTGACGACGGGGATTTAGTTAACATTTTAAGTTGTTTTCAGGACAGATCAATAGTAAATGTGAACTTATATATTTAAAAAGTCTGAAATAAAACCTGCTTTTCATCACAGTCTTTAAAAATCCACAATTTAAATACAACCAGATGGTCATTTTAACCAATTATTGAATGTTTTAAACAAACATTCAGAAAATGAAACACTTTTTATTGCTGTTCTACTGTTATGTTTTTATGAAAAGCAAAGAAAAACAAACAAAAAAAACAAAGAAAAGCAACATACTTTGTAATTATGTCTCTCTCTCTTTCTAATCAGATAAATGGCCTCCATGTTTTAATAAATTCTACGTAAGGGCAGTGAAAGAGTTGATGTCATCAAATGACACCTGTCATATCAAAGTACACATTATACAGATTAAAGAGTGAGATTTTGTTATAGTCACTGTTCATAAACCAAGTCCAGATTTGTGGTCTGTTTGTTTCTCTACTGTTTGTGTGTGCTGACCAAACAGCACTCATTTCTGTACATTATCATTTTTTGTCAATACCCAGCACTTTATGTACAATGTGTAGATACTTTTTGACTTTGAATATTAACACATTTTCTAAGAAATTTCTAATAAAGATTCTTAATAAGTGAGGTGGATGTGGTGAATGGTTGTTTTTATCCATGTAAAACAAGTCAAACTAGAAATATTTACATCAGTGAGATAGAGCCTAATTTTACCAGACTACTGTTTTGTTCAGAACAAGCTGAATTTAGCTTGCTAGAAGTTCCAATCTGTCAAAAAAAATTGGGTCATCACTTGATATGAAGTCATGTTACTCACTCATATTAAAGAAGAAACAAAATTATTTACTGTTGAAGCAATGTACCTGTTCTACAGCTGAGAAGAAAGCACATTTCCTCTCAGTTCCCAAGATCTATATTATTTTTTGTCATGCTGAAACACTCAAATAGATGTAATGAAAAATTTATGAAAGTGGAACTGGGCATCCCTCCAAACAAAAACAACTACAACTAGCACTTCTTTGTGGTTAAGCAAACTGAAAACTGTCAGAAGTTATTCACTTAATTGTGGAGATTAGATAGCTTAATGCATATCCCAGTTTTATTTCACAATACCTGTTTTCCTGTTTGTGAAGCTGTTTTCCTTGTATCATTATAGAAGAAACAAAAAATGCCATATATGCTATTATAAAATCATAAAACATTCAAATTAATTAAACATTTAAAGCTATGAGTCAAATTTACACTAATCACAAATATGGCAGAAATTACAGCAAATGTCTACAACACACAGGAAAAAGAAAGGAGAAATATTTTAAATGGGGAATGACAGGACCAAGGTTACGAATAACACATGAAGACTTCTGACATTGTTCACAATAGTCATCTGTGTACAGCTCATAGTCTGTTAATGACATATTGGGTCAGACAGTGTGACATATAAAACAAAAAGACTCCTGGCTTGTCCTGATGTACTACATCCTTCATCTTCAGTGTTTCAAGTATCTCATTCTGAACTGCAAAGACTTCATCTGGGGGGAAATATCTTCCTGAATGGTGCATTGCTGTAAAGAAAAACCTTGCAAACAATGGAGTCTCTGCAAAAAGTCCAGATACTGAGCTACAAGCCTTCAGGTATTACTCAAGTTCATAATGCTGTGTGTTGTGGCATTCATCCAACATTTGAAGAATAAGTTGGAAAATTGCAAAACTACATGGTTGGCTCAAGATTCAAAAGATGTCAAAATCATCTGTGTCATTTTGAATTCCATCTTCTAAGTTTTCTTCTGCTGATGAATCCTCAGAGATTTCTTCAAATATGTCACAATTTCCTTGCTGTCACATCTTGGTTTCACATCCAGGTCCTCTATGTTTTTGGGAAGACTGGTAAAGACACTGTTTGTAATGTCTGTGTTGATAAAGAGTTAGCTGTGGTTGTTAAAGTAACTCACTCAACCTGTGAGCAAGCAAACACATCCAGGTCCATTTGGTCATGAGGAACATTGAGACTTTCAAAAACAACAAAGTCTCCTGATGCCTTTACTGTTAAATCCATAGTTGTGGTTTTGACGGTAACTTTCTCATCCTTAGAGGAATCTTCCATGTCCTTTTGGGCTTCACGGTTCAATGTCCAAACCAAAGTATTTTGATCTCTCATCCTCAGAGCTCTCTACTAAAACGTCTTTGCCTCTTATGCTCTATCCTAACAACTTTTCAACTCCCGTCGTAACAAGAAATCCAAGGTCCCATCAATATCAAAAATCCTCTTGACTTGGTGAACAGTTAAAATGGTTTGTAAAATCAGTTTGAAGTCGTCTCTCTGGAATCGATCTACCTCCAACCAAGTTGAGAAGCAAACTGAGAATTCTTGTATTCTTGTATCTCTTTGAACTGTTATGACATCATTGATGAGAACATAGAGGTTCTCATCAACATGATGATGTCAAACAACCTGTGTCAGGTTCTTGTTTTTTTAGATGCTATGGAAACACAAGGAGCTATGAATGGGATTAGATTACTGTCAATTAAATATGTATGGGTAGACATCTAAATTAGATTATTCAACAAATGTGTATAATTTTAAGTTTTGTATTTGTCCTGTTTTTCAATTCATACATGTAAAAATCTGAATTTTTCTTAGAATACTTGTAAACAAATAAATTAAAAATATTTTTGATATGATTTATAAATAGATTAAGTATTTTTCCAGAAGCTACATTCACATCAGCTTGATCTTTTGAATTGTGGGTGAGGAGGATCCTCTTAACCCTCTGATGTGTAAGTGGGCCTTTTTTGACCAAGTGAGGTCATTTTTATGGAATATCTTTGTATTGAAAAGTTTTCATCATTTCACATTCCAGGTATTATACAAATATTTTAAAAAATGGAAAAAAATGAAAATATTTCAAATATGAAATCATTTTTATGTGGAATAAAACTAGTAGGAAATATATTTAAAAAATGAAATATTACTTATTACTAAATATTAAATATTTTCTATTATTATTATAAATCTGTTATTTGTGTATTCACATTATTTGTTTTCTTTCCATAATGGCAGCAAAAGAATGTATTTAGGCATCTAGAAGAGGTGAAGATGGTTTCCTGAAGTTCAAACTGAACATCAGATGGAAGAATGGGAATCTAAGTGACCTTGATCATGGCTCAGTAATTGGTGTGAGTGTCTCTGAACCTGCTAATCCAATGTCATTTTTCCTCAAAATCATCTCTCTGCCTTCCAGAAAATGCTCAGAAAAAGTAAAATTTCAAAGAGCGGTTTTTGTGTGATAAAAAAAACTTTTTTGATGTCCAGTTGAAGAAGGGAAATCAGACATTAAGGCAAAGCAGCTACCCAAATAATTATTCATTACAACCAAGCATATACACTAGCCACATCAGGAGACTCTGTCAACTCAAATGAAAATAAAGCAAACAAGCCTGCAATTTGTAGCTGTAGGAGCCCTTTACTTATCAGCATGTACTTTGTCAGAAACAGACATGTGGTTTTTACATGTCGAAGTTCGAAAATATGTTTGACAAAAGTGTCTGTCTGAGGATTATCAGTGTCCAGTCACACCGTGGGATTACAGGCTGTGGAGAAACAGATGATCCCAACAGACAAACCTCACTGAACTGAAGCAGTTGGATTTCTCTCAAATACTTTATGTAGTTGCCAGGAAGGCTGCTGTAACGTTAGAGCAAAAGTAATGTTCCATTGTCTTTAACATGTTGCAGATATTCTATCTGAATTTGTCTCATCAAAAGAATAAAAAAAAAAAATCCAAACAGTGCAGTACAACTTATTGGAAGGAAAAAATAGACTTCTTTCATTACCTTGCTTTGAGTGAATTGTGGAGCGCGGAAGTTGAAGCACTGAAGGAATTTCATTTACATCCGAAATTTGTTGCATATGAAACCTCAGCCTGGGTAACAGCTGATTGGTAAATTGTTAGAAAACTGTCTTCAGTATCCCGAGTAAACCTCAAGCTTTTCATTTTGAAAAATGCAAAGTTTAATTTAATATAATTAGAGCGGTTTGATGTTAGTTTTATTGCTTTTCTTGCCAAATACAACTTTGTAAGTTTATGGCGCACGATTATAAATTCCATCTGTTGCTGTTAGAGCAGAGTGACTGTTCTGAAGCTCTCTTATATGAAAGATGGTGGAGATTATGGGGTGAATAGAGATGGAGAAAAATGAAAACAATATGCTGGAAGAAATCAAGCAACTTCAAAGGATATTTTCTCCATGTTTTACACACATTAATCTCTCTGAGGTAAGGAAAACAATGCTTATTTTCATTTCACCAGCAGAAGTTTATTATTGTGCAAACGATTAAATTCCCTTCCAATAATGTTGCTTCATTTTATAATGACTTGTCTTGATGAGCATGTGTGCGGCATAAAAAAACCATCCATAACTAAGCATTGTTTTTGGTCTTTTTGAGATGTTAGTAGAAAATCCATCCCAACACGAGCCTTCGGAAAAATGTTGTCATGATGCGATGTCACCACTGCTGAAGTCGTTCCCAAGCCCCCACAGCGAAAATCTCATTTTATTCTTATGCAATCTGTCATTGTGGTGGTCTTGATTTACTGGAATATATATTGTGAGTCAATCAAACAGAGGATGCAGAGCTGTTTCATATTAATCCTGCAGACATTTTCATGAAACACATTAAAAGAATAGTTCCTTATTATGAGGCAGACTTACCATAATCATTCAGTCATAACCATGTGGTTTG